CCCCCCCGCAATCCAGCTTCAATTTAGAAACCAGACTAAAAATAACAAGGTTAGGGGCCAGAGGCCATCATAGAAGCTATCCAAACAGAAGTCCTTCCCCACCCCTCCCCAATCGGGGATTAAACTCAGGCCCTTGCGCTTGCCAGGGAAGCGCTTATTCCACGGAGCCATCTCCCTGGCCCCCAAACAGAAATCAATGAGGGTGGAGGCCTGACGTGGAAGAGTGGGAAGAACAGGAGACACGGCCAAGAAAAACTCCTAGAACGCAGGCCTGTAAAGACACTAAGGTAAGACAAAAGAGGAAGCGCATGGGGGGACTACACAGTCACAGTTTTCACTTTCTTTACTGGCACGTGCAGTGCTAAAGAAACTGGAAGAAAACCGCACGGTGCTCCAGGAGAGGCAGAGTCGGCTGCAGCGAGGTCCGCAAGGGTCCCGAGCAAGCCAGGAGCAGAAAGCAGCTCCTCCGACCCTCCACCATGCCTGCCTTCCAGCACTGTCAGCCTCCTGCTGGCCTTCCAGTCGGCAGCCGGGCCACGCCTCCATCTCCACACCGACCCCTCCCACCCTCCTCTCCCGCTGGGCTGCGGGCTGTGCACCTCCTGCCCAGTGAAATCCCTGCATGCAAGTTTTCACTCCTTATTCTCCTTCTAGCTCCTCGGCCCACACTACAATGAGGCCTCTGGATCTAGGCCATTTTTCAAAGACCTGGGCCTCCCCCATTCATTCTAACTCTCGGGACATGTTCCTTCATCTTTGCTAAGGACCCGGACACTCGGATGTGCGCTGTCCTGTGCTTCTTCCCAAACGTGACATCCATTCTTCCCAATCAGCACTTTCCCAAGGAAAGGGGACGGTGCATCGCCCGTTCTCTCTCCTCGGAGGAGGCAATCCCCAGGAATGGGAACTATCTGCCGGGTGTCTCCTACTCATTTTCCCACTAAGGTGTTGTGTGCCGAAGCAGGGAGGACCGAAGTCACGCCTGAGAAAACTTATTCACCAGATTGTGCCTGATGAGTTCTTTAGCAAATTCAAAGGAGGAAGGAGCGTTGTCCATCAAGCTCTTGAGTTCTGCCTGAAAGGTAAAGAGGAGAGGTTGTAAAAATAACAGGTGGATGGTTCTCATTGCAAACACAGTGATCTATAGTTCACAGAGAATTTAACACGCTGTTCCATTTGATCCTCATGACTTCACAGGTAAGCAATGAGACTTGTGAAGCTAAGCGTTCTCAGACAGTCTCACTGCGTGGTTCAGGCTGGCCTTGAACTCACTGTGTAGCCCAAGCTAGCCCTGAACATGCAGCGACCCTCCTGCTTCAACCTCCCAAGTATGAGGAGTATAGGCAGGTGCCACCAAAGCGAAGCATCTTGAGCTACTCAACGCAAATCTGCAGGCCCTTAGAATTAGCCTTTCAGTGAAAAGGTGATGAAGGAGCAAACCTTGGCTCTTGGCTCACGTGGCCACCCTGAGTGAAGCGGAGCTGGCCTGGGCCCCCATAAAATGCATAATTAGTGTATATAAGCCAAAAACCACTTCCTTTATTTTAAAATATTTTTATTATAACATTAAAAAGAGGGCACCATAAACTAGTGGGATATTGATATTGTTTTTGTGAAATTAATGCTCTAATGCCTGGTTCAATGGGAGTGGCTGCAATTTAGTGAGTTTTCAAGGAACTCAATTTTTTTTTTTTTAATCTGATTTTACTCTTCATGTGGTTCATCCACAAGAACAGTTGCTCACAAATGTACATTCTAACCGGCTGTGGTGGCACAGGCCAGTAATCCCAGCACTTGGGAGGCTGAGGCAGGAGGATCACTGCAAGATGAAGACCAGCCTGGGCTACAAAGTGAGCTCAAGGCCAATGAACTGCATAGAGACACCCTGTCTCAAAAAAGAAAAAAAAAATTCTGCCAAAAATCAACAACAGGAATAAGGTGTGAGTGTGAAGCAAAGGATATTTTTTCTGGGAAGACAGGTCTTATAAAAAAACTAATAAAGTTTGATTCAGTTTTCCTTGAAATTCATGTCTGATTGCAACTCTATATGTTCTAAAAAATTAATGAATAAGTAACAATTTAGTTTTCTATCATTAGCAGTCTTGTGTATGTAATTATAATAATCATAAGCAAAACTATGACACATTCTTGTACTTTCTATATTGCAGCTGCTTAAAAACTATTTTAGCTTATTAAATAATTTTCCAAAATGAAATGAGCCCAAGTTTAAAATTACATCAGAAAGCTCACATGTCTGCTTAGCAGCAGTAGCACCTGTCCTCACGCACACAGGCAGGCTGAAGTATCACCCCAGGCCAGCACTGTGTTCACCCCTCAGCCCCACAGGTCCTGCTAACATCTGATCCCTGAGCCTTAGACTCGACCGTGTGGAGCTGGGACAACTTCACACTCACACAAACTGAATGAAGTTGGGGTTTTACTTCATACCACATACAAATACTAATTTAAAAATCTATCAGAGACCTAAATTTAATAGCTAAAATGATAAAACTCTTATAGAGACAATGAGAATAAATTTTCATAACTTGGATTTCACACTGGATTCTTAGATATGACACTGAAAGCATACGCAACAAAAGGAAACATTATTTTGACTTCATCAAGATTTAAAACTTTGCTCTTCAAAAAACAGTATTTAGAAAATGAGGGAGGCCTGGAGTTGTGATGCACTCCTGTGGTCCCAGCACTCAGGAGGCTGAGGCTGGAGGATCCTTACAAGCGCAAGGCCAGCCTGGGCTACACAGTGAGTTCAAGGCCAGCCAAAACCTCATGGCAAAACCGTGTATCCAAGAACCAATAAAACAAAGCAAACACCTGAAAATGAGGGAGTGTGAAAAACAGAAAGAATCACTACCCAGCTATCCTTCTGTCAGACAAAATGGGCTGCAAATCAAAATTTGTCAGAAGAGGCAAAAAAGGTCGCTGTGTATTGGTTAAGGTAACAATACTACAGAAAGAGTTAGCAATTATAAGTTATATGCACCAAAACACCAGCAAAACCAACTTAAGACAAACACTAGTAACATATGAAAGCAGACAGATACCAACGCGATTATAGTGGGGGCTACGATGTTCATATCACAAATAAATAAACTAGAAAAAAAATCAAGAATCAACTACAGGCGCCAGGGAGATG